CTAAAGCACAGCACTAAGAAGCTAAAGCCGCTTCAGCATGAGTTCAGTCCCCTCCCCGGAGGTGACCACATGGCACAGCAGACCTCTCCCGGCCCACCCGCTGTTCCCCTCAGCGGTGTACTTCGTCAGTTGGCCTGTTCTGCTCCCCACTCTGTCTCTGGAGAAGCCTCTTACTGCCCCTGTACCTCTGGTCTGTATCCCAGTTCTGTGTACATAAATAAATAAATGTTTTAAAAAAAAGTTTTGAAAAAAAAAAAAAGTTTTGAGCACAACCTAGAGAGTGATAATCCTTAGTCAAGGAGCAGAGTGATAGATGGGGAGACAGTTCACACCTGCTTCCCAGGGACCTTTGCTGCTGGTTTGTCAAGTCTTAGCATGATGGTGTTCAAGGCACATGAGGTTTGAAACAGAAGTACATATCCAACTCAGGATTTGGTCTGAGAACAACCAATTGTCTTGGCTTAAACCATACAAGTCCATTATCAAATTAAATATTTTCCAGCTAATACAAATTAGTATCAGTCCACCGACTAAAATCTAAAACCAGATCAGTCTGGGTCTAAAAGATAGAAGTGCATGAGACCAAAGCCCTGCAGCAAGTCCTTGTTTTTCCCAGCCAGGGATGCCACTTAGAATAGTGGTCAGTACAGACAATCCGGGACAGTTCTGCTTTTGCTTCAACTCTTCACAAGATCAAGTAGATCACATTTTGTTATGAAAGCAGGCCCTGAAATACAAAGGTAGGAGAGATATCATGCAGGGGCTTCTTACTCACCCTACAGGAATATTCTTTCTCTTCAAATGCAAAATGACTTTAAGAGACTGGAGAGAATAGGGGGAAAGGAAAACTCAGAAGCCATCTCTGGAGTTTTAATATATGGTAAAGGGAATGCAGGTTAAATTGCTAAATGTTGGCTTTAGAATTGGTTATTTAACTGAGACCCAGACTATGAAAAGCCTTTTCAAAGGTATGAGCCCCCATGCCTCTGAGAGAGGGAGATGTCCCCAGTACTGAAGCAAGATTCACAATGTGATGTGCATGTGGAGAAAGGGAGAGCCATCGGCGAAGGAGGAGGATGGCTACCCTTCCTTTGGCATGCCTCTCGGGGAACTGCTCCCCAACATTCTTGGTGACTTGAGGTCAATGAGGGGTGAGTGGATGAGGGCAGGGCCCCCTGAGTTTGTACACTTCTGTTTGTCCTCCTAGCAGCATTTCCTTTTTTTATGCCTTGGCAACCAGCAACCTGTCCTCAAACTTTCAAATGCCCACAGCTGTGGTTTTCTCATCACTACTTCTACTGGGCCAAGGCATCTTGTGTTTTCACCTGGTTTAAGGTTGTGAGCTTACCATTTTTGTTGAAGTTGATCACTAAGTTGGTTTCGCTTCCTAGTTTATATGAATAAACATATTTTTGAAGGGGGATTTTGAAATCTATTTTAGAAGCATATTTGCATTCCATCAAAAATACCATAAAGATATTGCTCATGGTGGTGGGCACACCTTGGGACTGGGCTGGGCACCTTGAGGGCAAGAGGCGGTCTAGGATTTAGACCCCTAGGTTTAACCTTCATCGACTGTTTTAGGGAAAACCCCTTCACCTTTTTTGTTGTAAAGTCAAAAAGTCACATTAATGTCGTCAATAAGAAACTGTTGAGCAGATAGTACATGAAGAGCTTAACTTGTTCACTGGATTATCCCATTTATGTTTATCGAATAAATCATTAATTCCCTTTACTGTGCTACCAGCTAGGGTACCAAGAATGAATAAAACCTGACTGCCATTATGGAGTACTATTCAGACCAGGGACCCCCAGTTCTTCAGCTGGGGTGCAGAGAAGGATGTGTGAGATATTGATGATCATCATACTATCCCTTTAGGAATCTTGGCAAAGCATGAAGACAGGGTAGCCACAGGCTAGGAACACACTGAGAAAGCACATTGCATCTTTTAGTTTAGGACTTGATCAAAAAGTACCTGATCTAATTGTCAAGTGTGCAAAAAAAAAAAAGAAAAAAAAGGAAGTTGACCAATGCTTGTCTTAGGGGAATCTAATTATATAATATGTCTCTATTAACTGGGGTGGGGTGTGGTAGAGTTCCCTGGGTCTGGAAGTAGGAAGCTTATGCTCTACTTGTCATCTGCCGTGGATTAAGTTTGATATGTCATTCAAGTTTTCTGAGTCTCCGTTCCTTCATAGAACAAATGAGAGAACTGAACTGGATCGTATCGATTCCTCTTAATAGAGGATTATCAATAGCAGTGCACAAGTTGATTTACAAGTTTTTTCCCATTTATTTTTTATACTACAAAATGTAAAGGATCAAGTTTCTGCTTTCACAGGTTTTTTGATTAGCATAAAGCTGAATTTATTAAAGAAAAAAGGACAGTTGATTTAACAAATATCAAGTAAACAGTAGCCCTGGTTATAATTGGTTATCACAAACTTTTTTTTAAGTAAGGTTTTTTTTTTAAAGATTTATTTACTTATGCCTACAGAACTGGGGTACAGGCCAGATGTGCAAGGCTGGTGAGAGGATTCACCAAAGACAGAGGCCAGGAATACAGGCTGATCAATGAAGTACATTGCTGAGGGGAGCAGTGGGCTTGGTGGGTCAGGAGAGGTCTGCCCTGCCATGTGGTCACGTCTGGAGTGGGGAATTGAACTCTCACTGAAGTGGCTGAGGCTGACTTCTAGTGCTGTGTCATAACCCAGGAAAGGCGGTTATCACAAACTTTTTTTTTTTAAAGATTTATTTATTTATTTATACAGAACTGGGGTACAGGCCAGACATGTGGAGGGTGTGAGGATTCACCAGAGACAGAGTGGGGAGCAGAACAGGCAGATCAACGCTGTACACTGCTGTGGGGAGCAGCTGGCGGCTCAGGAGAGGTCTGCCACACCATGTGGACCTCTTCCCGGGCAGGCGGGTATCGAACTCAGGCGGAAGTGGCTTTAGCTTCTTAGTGCAGTGCTTTAAACCGCTGCGCCACCAGGGAGGGCCTATCACAAACTTTTAAGGGTATGTGAGACCAAGGAAGGTTAGGAAACACTTGGATATATGCTCTCCTAGGTTCCTTCCATTTCTATCTCTCTGCAATTACTTTTCCTCTGTATAATTAAGTGATATGAGTGCAAAGTTTCTATTGGAAACAGTATTGTGTATCCAGAATTAACTCGACAGCTTGTCCAAGTCAAGTCATTTTGCACACTCTTTTCGTATCTAATTAGATCTTTATCCAAGACTCCTAGTTCACTGTCATCATAACCACAATTTTTTCCCTTTGGTGTGTTTTCAGATCAGGGTGCTGACAGAAAGGATGTTCAAACATCTTCGGAAATGGTTTGTCACTCGAATTTTGGGACATTCTCGGCAAAGAGCGAGGCTGGTCTCCAAGGATGGGAGATGCAACATAGAGTTTGGCAATCTGAATGCTCAGTCGAGGTTTATATTCTTTGTGGACATCTGGACGACTGTGCTTGACCTCAAGTGGAGATACAAAATGACCATCTTCATCACAGCCTTCCTGGGGAGTTGGTTCCTCTTTGGTCTCCTGTGGTACGCAGTAGCCTACATTCACAAAGACCTCCCTGAGTTCCATCCTTCTGTCAATCATACTCCTTGTGTGGAAAACATTAATGGTTTGACCTCAGCATTTCTGTTTTCACTGGAAACTCAAGTGACCATTGGTTATGGCTTCAGGTGTGTGACAGAGCAGTGTGGCACGGCCATTTTCCTCCTTATCTTCCAGTCTATCCTTGGGGTGATCATCAATTCTTTCATGTGTGGTGCCATTTTAGCAAAAATCTCCAGATCCAAAAAATGTGCCAAGACCATCACATTCAGCAAGAATGCAGTGATTAGCAAGCGGGGTGGAAAGCTCTGTCTCCTGATCCGAGTGGCTAATCTTAGGAAGAGTCTCCTTATTGGCAGTCACATATATGGAAAGCTTCTGAAGACCACAGTCACTCCTGAAGGAGAGACCATTATTTTGGACCAGATCAATATCAACTTTGTAGTGGATGCCGGGAATGAGAATTTATTCTTTATTTCTCCACTGACCATTTACCACGTCATCGACCACAATAGTCCCTTCTTCCACATGGCCGCAGAAACCCTCCTCCAGCAGGACTTTGAACTAGTGGTGTTTTTAGATGGCACCGTGGAATCAACCAGTGCTACCTGCCAAGTTCGAACATCCTATGTCCCAGAGGAGGTGCTTTGGGGCTACCGTTTTGCTCCCATAGTATCCAAGACCAAGGAAGGGAAATACCGAGTGGATTTTCATAATTTTAGCAAGACAGTGGAGGTAGAGACCCCTCACTGTGCCATGTGCCTTTATAATGAGAAGGATGCCAGAGCCAGGGCAAAGAGAGGCTACGATAACCCCAACTTCATCTTATCAGAAGTCAATGAAACAGATGACACTAAAATGTGACAGTGAGTTTTTAACACTAGTAAAGCAAAGTGGCAAAGGCACCTAATGACTAGAAGATGATAAAGCAATCAGCAAGTCTGGGGTATGAAAATGGACAAGAGGGTTCCAAGTCTGTCAGACCCATACCCCCGATCCCCATAACCATGATTCTACAAGAGACATATCACGAAAAGGCAACTGCATTAAACAAGCAGCATATTTTTATGAAACTGAAATAGGGAGCCCCAGAGCTTCCTTGGAATTTGAATGATTATTTGAAATCATGCAGTATTGAAGGGAATAGTGAAAATCATCAAAAATCTCAGGGAGAGGCCAAATGAAATCCTCTTGAAAAAATTTTGAGCTGGAGTTAGGATCAGGGAAACACTATCCTCATTTTGATTCTACTGATAGGAAAGAAGTCACTGCTATTTTAACATTGGCTTTTACTAAGAAAAAATGGTCTCCTGTGTCGGGAGAGATGAACCAAAGGCAATAGGAGAGGATGGCTACACAAGAAGTCAATGAAACAGATGATACTAAAACATGTCATCTATTATAAGACAAGAACATTTGAGAAGTTCTTGTCTTCTCAGACCCTAGTTTCTGGAGCTACCACTTTATTCTGTACCCTCTGTGTTTCAGGAGTGCAGGGCAGTTTCTGCCTATGGACTCTGCATCTCTAAGCACCCACAACTCTGGGCATTGAGTCCAACCTGTTTTATGGCTTCTGTGTGCTAAAGCCCAAGTGACCTCCTGTGGTCCATTAGACAGAGGCCAAGTCACCATTCAAGAATCCTGATGACCTCTTCCTACAAGAAAGCAAGCTTGCTTTGAAAACCATGGTGATATTTCTTCCAATTTGCATTAAATGGCATAAAGGGATATTAATCTGTCCAAAGAGTATTTCTTGTTCTTCTAAGAACTCAATGAGAGTTTGAAGGAGCCAAGTCAGTTTAGAAGTAAGTGTTAGTAGTAATACTTCTGAGAAAAAGAACATCTTGTGTTTTTATGCTGTACTGAAATGTTGTTGCTGGGAAGAGCTTGAAAGGGAAAGAAATGGAGGTGACCTCACCATGAGGAGAGTCCTCCCCATTTCTTTCCCATCGGGTTAACACCACATCTTCCTAAAAGGGATCAAGTGACTATAGAGGTCAATCTTTAGGGGAAGATTTTACTGTGAATGTCTTGTTCACTTCCCACCTACTTTGTGATGAATGTATTCTGGAAAGGGTGGTACTCAAAGCTGCTTATGAATCAAAATGTTGTCAGTATGTTGATTAATATATTAAATTTCTGAAACTGTGCACACACTTCCCAAATGTGTCATTATTGTGCATTCAGATTCCTGGGTGAACTTTCCAGTTGGAGAGGAGGTGGGGTGGTAAGATGGCGACAGGACACATTTGCTGTCAAACTTCCCCAGGAGGAGAGGTTTGTGCTACAGACATGCCCCTTCCTGTTCAGCTCCATCAAACCACTCCAGTGTGAGTCTTGGCACAAAATGTGGCAGCTGTCATTAGCAATGGTTTTGTTTTTCCAGGCCTGGGGTTGATTTTGTACAGATTCATACATGCACCCTGGTCCTCCTGACCAAGACCAGTAGAGACTCTGAGGGGCTTGGGACCACCTACGTTGTCACAACACAGCAGTGGATACAATTGGCCAACAGGGGAGATGGCCCTGTGTCTGTATGTGTTGCGTGGTGGCATTGCAATTTAATTCACTGACAAAACTAGAGTAAATTGGGTAGCACAAGCTTGAGGGAGCTAGAATTCTTTTGATCAGAGGTTTTCTGCTGTCATAAGGTTTTGTGATTCTGTCGTTTCTTTATAAACCGGTGGGAAAATATATGCACTCAGGTCCTTGACATCAGGTCCTTGACATCCTTAGTATCAATTCTGCCGAACAAACGGGAATCTCTGTGACTGGCATTTGTTTCTGGGTTATTCGGAAGAAGCTTGTCTGCTTCCAAATACTCCTTTATTACAGTTGATCTCGAGGCATTCTGAGTTTGGAGTTTCTTTTTAATGCAAATTCCCACTGAGCCTCAAGCCAGGAACAAACTTATGTCCTTTATAGTCCTGTGGAAATGAGGCCATTTTTGATTGTGGCTAGCACCCACAAGCAGTAAAAGAAGGGCGCTGGACATTTGGACATAAGGGGTTACCAAGAGCTCAGTGAGTAAAGAAAGTAAATGGAAAATAGAAGGTTCCAGAAGGACAAGTTATCTATAAGCTATTGAGAATGCTAAGGACAGGTCTTTTATTGTATTACATGACATTGTTGCACTAGGCCCACTCATCACTACTGCTGTTGCTGTCCAGTCCCATGATAGCTATGTAGCTTCCCATCTGAAAAACAAGCCAACAGCTCTTATTCCTTTCAAGAAAAACTGCATCCCAAAATGCATGACCAAATTCAACATTTTCCTTGATAGGGATTCCCCCCTTGAATTGTCTAATTTATTTCTGTTACTATGGGGGTTTAACCTTAGAACTTAGATTGCTCAAGCTCCAATACTTATTGAAGATTTGGAAAAGTGTCTAAAAATGTATTCTTCAAGAGAAAAATAAGAAAAAATAAGTGGAAAGAGAGAAAATAAGTGGGAAAGATGATTTCTAAGTTGCCAGCTCTAAGAAGAAGCAATTAGTGCTTCTGTCTGCTTCCAAAGCCAGTGTGTGTAGAACAGGATGGTAAAGAACTTACTGGTGGGTGGTGGGGAGGGTTGAAAAGAGTTTCCATAAAACAGGAGAGGGGTCCTCAAAAGGCTGATTCTGGAAATAGGATGGGGGAATGTTCTCCTACTTAGAACAAACTTAATGAGAGCCTCAGATGCAAAGAATGCAAATGAGCTCCTGACTCCGCCCCGGCCTTTGTTGTCTGCCATGACAGGAAGTGTATGTCAATCAAAGCTTGACAGGAGAGATAGAGCATTTTATTTTGGAAGCCAGAAGTTTGAGAACAATGACTGGAATTTCCTCTTTCTGTCTAGCAAGGGCTGTTTGTCACTGGGGAGATAAAAGTCCAGGGGTAGGGAATAAAGGTTATCGGGAACTGTGCAACACAGAGCAGGGGGTGGGGGGCCACCCTGGGAGGAGGGGTTATGGAGGAAATCTATTTCAATGCCTGTCATTAAGTTTCCATTAAAAGAACATTCAGTTAGGAATTCAAAAATAATTTAATCTCTCCAGCCAGATGCACCCAGCTGGACTGCTTGGAGCTGAGCCTGCTGAGAGGGGACTTTGCACTGGGTTGTGAGGACCAGGAGCTGGTGTGGGCCATGTCTGCATCTCCCTCAATGCACCCGATGTTCTAGAAGTCATACTTTCTTTCAAGCCAGTGAGAAACTCCTAAACTTGTGCTATGATAGGAGGAATTTACTAACTCCTAAAGAGGTATTAGGCTCTATTTTATGCATTTGATATACATTACCTCCTTTAATTTTCCCAATGAGTCTATGCACCCCAATAAGTCAGAATTATGATTATACCTAGTTTTTACTTAAGGCAGCTCAGGTAAGGAACGTGTCCTTAGTCACTAGCTAGTTAATGGCAAGGGTAGGATTCAAACCTGCACTGCCTATCTTGAGAGTTCCTGAGTTTAAGATCTTTCAAGTCTACATTCTAACAGAGTTCACCCTCTGATAAGACTCACTGGCATGGTCAGACATTTACCTGGAACCTATGAAAACCAGGTACAGATTCCTGATCCTGTTGAGATGTTTTGAGGTGAACCCCCTCATGGCTTGGGAAAGGATAGACCCCCTGCTTGGAACAGGATAGACCTCCTGGCCAGGATTTAGCAAACACCTTTGAACCTACATGTTCTAGGAAAAGGCAGCGTTTTGCCAGGACCACTGGCTAATCTGTCCACTTGGCATCTGGAAGCTTCGTGGGCATCCTGAAGTTTTGTATAGCCTGCTAGTACAAACTACTCTCTAGAGACCCAGCAAGTATATATAAATATGCATTAATTATATACATGCTATTTTTATTTCCATTTGAAGCAGCAACAGCTGTTAGTCCTACTTGGACAGTTGCGAGGAAAGGAACCCGTGTTTGTTCTCTATTTACCAATATGTCCCCTACACCTCTACTGTGTCTCACACTGTCAATAAATGGTTTTTTAATGAGTGCAGGAGTACATGAATGATCTGTTCAAGACCAGCATGACTAATCATGGTTTTGTACATGCGTCTGAACTTTAGATCAAGCTACATCATTTACCAGTAGAGAGGTCTTGACCAATGACTTCACTTTGTCAGTCTCAGTTTTCTTGTAAAATGCTGAAATAGGGCTAAGGGGAAAACTGCAGGAACTCATGGGTGAAAAAAATCCTTTTGTCAAAGGTAAATAACCATTGGTGTGGCAAAATGGGGTAGGAGTGTGGACTTGCAGCCTAGGAGCTGAAAGACAGACAAGTCCATCTTCCATGGACGCTTTAGGGGCAAAGAAAGCAGCGTCCTGGGCAGGACTGTGACCTCCAGGTACAGGTGACAATGTCTCAGTGTCCAATTCATGTGAGACATGAATATGAGACTACGAGCTCAGGTAATCTGAGCAGAAGCCTAGGCCTAGTGTTTTACTTTTACCCAACAGATGCTGGTTAAGAGATTCCTGTGAGCCAAGCACTGAGGAGGGAGCAAGAGGGAGCCAGTGGCTCTTGCTGCTGTCATAAAGTGTGAGGGGGACTTAATCCCCCCCCCACCACCCCACCCCCGTCATGGAATGGAGCTAAATTGGAGAATGTCTAATAGTGGAGAGGGTCATTTTTTCTTATGCGGCATTTTCATAATAGTTTCATAATAGTTTCCAGTATCGACATTACTACTGACGATACAACTATGGATTATTGTTTTTCTTTTCTTGTTTAAAAAGATTTATTTATTCATTCATATAGAACTGGCGTACAGGCCAGAGGTGAGGGGGTGGGGGGGCGTGAGAGGATTCACCAGAGACAGAGTGGGGAGCAGAATAGGCTGACTGAGAAGTACATTGCTGAGGGGAGCAGCAGGTGGGTCAGGAGAGGTCTGCCGCACCATGTGGGTCACCTCCGGGGCAGGCGGGAATCGAACTCATGCAGAAGTGGCTTGAGCTGTGCTTTAACCTGCTGCACCACCAGGGAGGGCCTGGATTATTGTTTTTCAATAAGATTTAAAAAATTCTCTTTAATATATTTTACTTGGGTTGTGCAGTCAACAAACTGTCTTACCATTACTGGTAGGAGTTCTCTCTTTTTCTGTATGATCATGTACTAACTAACTTGACAGTGAATTAGGTTTACTGACTTCAGTTCATTTCCAATTATTAGAGTTGTTTTATTATT